GGATACGGGACAAGACTGTAGGCGAAATTCTGTGTAACCATAGACACTACGCCAGACGCAGCATGAACGAAATGGGATGCACATGCAAAGAAATGGAATGGCCAAGAGATGAAGACGGACATGTCTGCTTCCGTTTTTCGCAACGGGACGATGTGGCAGAAGGATTGAAGAACTCCAGAAACGTGCCTTGGCCTGAACAAAGAAACGGGTCTGCCTTGGCCCGGCAGCTCCATGAGGACTTGGTTGGGTTCTTCAACCAACGCCAGATACGACCGTTCACAATGAATGAGAATTTATGCCTGCTACAGACGAACGGTCGGCAGTGGTATCGGGATCTCCATGTGTGAAGTGCATGCAATGAGGACGAGGTTGGAAGGATTGATCGTAATGCCCATGGACCACAACATGGGGGATACGATGGCCTGCTGTCCGATGAGATACGGGAAGGCCATGCAGACCATGTTTATCCAGAACGCGTCTTTTGAAAGGAAGACGGAGGGAGAAACTGTAATCCTTGAGAGGTGCAGGAGACAGTACATTGATGAAGGATACCAGCGCATGGCTAAATGGGACAACCACGGATGTCTCGGGAGGGAGTATGTCATCCCCAAGCACAAGGATATTTCGAGGTGGAGACCCATATGCCCATCCTACGACGAACCTGCTGGTAGGATGTCAAGAGCAGTCGGGAGAGCTCTTAATCACATGCTATGGAGCCTCCCCAAGAACTCTAACTTCAACTTGAAAAGCACCCAGCAGTTGGTGGAACGAATCGCTTCCATCAATGATGCTGAGAGCGGGACCAAGAAGAAGACGGGGTTACTAGCTACTAGCTATGATATAAAGGACATGTTCTCAAGGCTACCTCATGAGGCGATTATCCGAGCAGTAGAATGGATCGTCGAGCTTTATGAAGGTAAAGGAAGAAGCTGGGTGAGGATCAAGACGAGAGGAAGAGGTGCAACCTTCGGCAAGGCAGCCGGTGAAGTAGGATGGTTGATACAAATAATAACTACATAGTCTGCAACACGCAGCCGAGCAAGAACACGTGTTAACACACGATCGTTCTAGCATGTCTTTCCAGCCAAGCTCGTACGTACTTATATTATTTATACGCTCTTGCCTAGTACATATCTGACTACTCACTCAAGTCCAGCTCATTCCATCCTCTGCAACCCAATGTCTCTCCTACCTCATCCATATCTTAAAAAAAAAAAAAAAAAAAAAACACACACACAGAACCTTAGGGTTCTGGCTCCTTGTCCATTCTGGGGAGCGTCAGTCCGGTCAAAAATGGTACAAAGGATACTCACACACGCTTCTCCCCACGATGGTTGAGAGACCCGAGTGGACCTCATCCACATCGTAGTCTCCTACCGAAACCACTCAACCGATTTCATCCACTTGTAATTTGGTGTAATTAATTTGTAATTCTTTGTTCTAATAAAGTAGATAGTTCCGCTCCATAAACTTTGTTCATAAATTTCATGCTCTCTTCTCACCCAAGATTACTTTTTTTTTTGTTTTGTTTTATCCATCTACAGGGACCAAAGGGCTCGAAAAATCAAAATAACAAAATTCTTGAGTCATTTCAATCCCACCCGAAGAAGCTGTGACCACGAACCCAAAACTGTCTGATCTCAATGCCCGCTATGCACATCTCCATCTCATCATAATCCGGTGAGCGAACGTCACCCACATTCGGGCTTGGTGCACCTGTACTATTGTCTTTACTGGACACATGCATTCCATTTTTGACCCAATGAACTGATCTGCTGTTGCTGTATTTCTTTTTCCTTTTTTTTTATTGCTGCAGAGAAGCATGGGACATGTTCAATCTCTGTTTTGCCCAATATCCGCAGCTACTTCAGGACAGTTTTGTCCTTCAAGGACAGCATTGATATTCTGGTGAGTTCCAGTACCTCTCCTTTTCCCTTTTTTCCGAAAATTCAACACTGGGTTACAAGTAAGAATTTTCAAAAAAGAGTGGTTTATCACTCCACTCTCGTTGTAGGTAGCAAAGCCCTTCAATACCATTGGAGGTGGTCTCCTGCTGGGCCAAGGATGAATGAGAAAGTGCTTCAAGTACTTCAGAAGCAAATTTGTGTGTGTGTGTGTGTGTGTGTGTGTGTGTGTGTGTGTGTGTGTGTGTGAGAGAGAGAGAGAGAGAGAGAGAGAGAGAGAGAGAGAGAGA